ATCCCCAGATATATATCTCAGGGGTCTGGAGACTAGGAAGTCTGTGAACACAGCACTGGGATCTAGTGATCTTGCTATATAATGACATAATTATGTACTGTTATCTTGCTACATAATGACATTATTCTGATTTTTCTGTCACGTCTGTACTGCCCCCCCCCCCATACTGTTCCTTGAAAGCCCTCTTCAAGATCTGACCTTGCTAGCTTTTGCCTTTCATTTTCAGTGATCTCTTCATTTGTGGCTTAAGGGTAAGCGCTTCATGATTATTTCTCTTTTGCCTTAGCAGATCTCCAGGAATACTTACAGATTCAAAGTATCTCAAGTTCTCTTAAATGTCATTGTCATGCCACCATTACTTAGTACCACTAAAGGAGCATCCATCACATTCTTTTATGCCAGTTTGTTCATTTCTCTGCCTCCTGTATGGATTTCTTGAATGCAGGAGCTGGGATCTGCTAGTCATTTTTTTCCTCCTCTCTGTAACAGACAAGAGGCAAGTAACTGTCATTTGCTGAATGTAGAAACTCGAGGCCTGTCCCACTTTCATATCACCCACCTGGTAGATATCCCTGCCTGGACATTCCAACACATACGTTGTTGTGGTGGGAGGTTTTTTTCCCCTAAAATAGTCTCAGATTAATAGGAGAGAAAATAGACACTTGACAGTTATGATTTAAACAATTTGTAACTATAAGTAGTGGTTTGGTTTTTCAGCTAGCTCACAAATAACTATTTTAAATCTTGCATTATAAATATAGTCAACAAAATTACAGTTATACTATTTTCTTGTGGATATATTTTATGTACATGTACCAACTCTGCACAAGGAGTGTGATAATTACGTACTACAAACATGTACTAATAAAACTTTAAAAAGCGATAAGTATTCACTGTATAGCTACAATTTGTTGGAATGTATTATGGTCCATTTTCTGTGGCTGTAAGAAAATGCCTGAGAGTTAGGTAATTTACAAAGATAAGAAATCACTTTCTCCAAGATCCAGAGGTCAGAGAGTCCAAGAGCATGGCAGCAGCCCCTGATGAGCATCTTCTTGCTGTATTATAATGTGGCAGAGAGCAAAACTTGGTGACACAGAGCAAGCTTGCTAACTTGAGCCTTCTTGAAAAGCCATGGATACCCTTCTGCGAGTCCAACCCTCATGCCCTTATCTAATCATATTTTTCTGAAGTAATTTGTTGAAAGGAAAAATTAAAGTGATTAAGGGTATACAGTATACATATAATGACTCTCAAATATAAATGTACATGCATGTATCCACAAACACATACATAGATCTGATCCTCATAATTTGTGGATTTCATCCTGACAAATTCATTTCGGTAATATATAACTGTAATCTCGTGCTGGTTTTCAGCTGAGATCAAACCTGACTACAAGTCATTTCTCATGCAATAAACAAGTGTTGTTTTTGCAGCCCATTTATTGCCACAATTTTGTGCTTTTTGTTAGTGATTTTGCTAGCCAAGGTAATTCCCAGTAATAGAGCTGTAGTGTTGTCTTGTGTTCTTAAAGACAACAGTGCTGTGATATACCTTAGAGGGGGCAGTCTGTGTGTTAGGCTTTGTTGAGGCATGAATTGCAGTACTACTGGCCATTTAGCTCACCATTACTGTGGAAATGTCACACTGAAATGCATTAACTTGCACAATTAATATGTGTTAATAAAAATTTTAAAACAACATTTATTAGTCAGCAATATATATTTTAAAGGCTTCTTTTAATCATAAAATATTATATGGTCATTGCTTAATGAAAATGTGACCCCTGGGGCTCACAGAAACCCAGGGTTTCCTTTAGCAACATGTGGGCTGATTCACTGCTGCCATGGGTTGGGTATTGTCTGAGTGTGTCCCCTAAAGGTTCAATCTGGGAAATGATGAAGTGTCCCCAGCTCACTGAGGGAGTGCCCCTCAGAAGGGATTAAGGTAGGTCTCCTGGGACTCCTGAGCGCTCACGAGATCCCTAAGCTTTCTTCAGAGCAAGCTGTTCGAAGAGCAAGGACACCCACGAATCACTCTTTGATCTTTGACATTTGATCTTTGGCAATCACATACATTCCCACTATTTGCTGTGGGACTCTCTTCACAGCCTATACCTTGCTTTTGGACTTGCAGCCTCCAAAGCTATGAGGTAAATAAGCCTCTCTTCTTTATAAACTTATCCTGTTACAGTTATTTCATTATAATGATAAAAATGGACTAATACAAGTATTCAGTACCAAGAATAAGAATTAACTTTCTGTGTATGATAGAGTGAGAGTGATAGAGATTACTGAGGTGGAGCCAGCTATGCTCCAGAGAGAAAAAAGAAAAAGAGAAGGGGCAGCATTAATACAGACAGGAAGAAAGAGTTTCTGGGCCATAAATAAAGAGACCATCCCCTCTGCTAGCCATAAAGTATACTGTCAGTTGAGGGCAGTTTTGTTTCTTCCTGGCAGGAGCAGAAATGACCTGTTTTGCTGTGGTACAGAAATGTTCTAGTTTGTTATAGAATACAGAGCATAAAGAGCTATGTAGTCACTTGTTCCTGTGTGCCCAAGAGTCTGGGAAGTGACTACAGAACTATCAAAGTCACTTTGTTCAGGAGACACTGGGGAGCAATTTTATCCTTTCTCTTGTGCCCCTGAACTTTTCTCAGAGAAAGAAGAAGTATTAATATTTTAATTATATCAACTGAAAACCTGCATTTGGAAATAAAATTCTATTATTGGAATTATTATTAGATTATTATTATTATTGGAATTATTATTGGAATTAACTTGGCCATCATTTTTCTCTTATACCTGCCTCTTGAAGCTTCTGTTAGTTAGTTTAAGATCTAGACTAAGTTACTAGATTCATGGAGTGAATTTCTAATCTTTCAGCCCATGCATCAGCACCTAGGTAGGTTGGGTCCATGTCAGGGTATCAGGAACAAGGTATTTTGTTCAAGTAACAAAATCAAGCCAGTAAACATAGTAAGTTCACCAGATTATAGTAAGATGGATTTCTTTGTTTCTGATGAGATTAAAGGTATAGAATATGGGTGAATTTGAAGATAGCAGATAACCAACTGTTCTAGTAGAAGCTATAATTTCCTCTATTAAAAAATCTTATGTGTTTTATTTGGGTGTTGATTTGTATGTCTTAGCAGCAACCCTTGGTTTGTCAGTACTTTTAGCTTTAATATTCTTTTATAATATTACTATGGTCTTTTGTTTGCCAGTGAGATGGGTCTTGTGATTTTGGCGGGGGGGGGGGTTCTTGTCATTTTTAAAAGTCTTTTTTTTTTTTTTTATACTGGGGATTGAACTTGGGTCCTTGCGTTTCTGCAGCAGGCAGCAAAACCACTGAGCTAAATCCCCAGCCCTTAAATGTCCATTGTGCCATGTGGTTTGAAGTGATACTTTGATGGTATCTGTGGGCTGGCTCTTCAGGAAACTGAGAAGTAAATGAGGTGATATTTACTCCCTTGAAATTTTTGGGGAGGACCTCAATAAATGGGTAGGGAAGTAACAGCACTAGGCAATTGAAATTCTAGAAAAAGTTTCTTAAATTTGGGGGTAGCCTGGGATATTTACAATAAAATTCACCTCTTCCTTTGTGTCCTTTTGATGCATCACATTGCAATGACCAAATGTATCAAACTGTCAAGGATCAACTCTTCTCTTTGGTTAATGTACCATCAGTTTAAAAAAAAAAGGATTCTTTTAAAGTACCAAGTCTTTGTTAATCCTATGAACTGAAACCCTACATTTCAAAATAACCAGTAAATAAAAAACAGAACGCTGTAGATGATGCCTATTGAGTCTCAAGAAGTCCATATTCATACCCTTTAATGCATTTAGAAAATGTACTATTGGGGCTCTTTTACAGCATCTTTGTGAGTCACAAAATAAAGTCAAATGCAAGTGAAAATAGTTTAAGTGGTTTTTCTTTTTGGTATGGGGGATCGAACTCGGGACCTTGTGCTTTGTGAGGTAGGCAGCAGATCCACTGAGCTAAATCCCTGGCCCCTTTAGTGTTTAGGAAAAAGAAATAGATTTGTGTTTCTTGAAGCTCTTAAAAGCTTCTACCTTATATTAAAAATGTGCAGAATCTTCGCCCATAAAGAAACAAATTTAGGATGTTAGATTTTTAGTTCACAGCTATAAAGAGTGAAAGAAGATATTTAGGAAGAAAATAAGCCTGGAGCTATTTTTATATCAAAAAGCAAGTTCAGCAAAAGGATCAAGACCTTTTATTTATTTATTTATTTATTTATTGCTTAAATTCTTTTATTGTTACATTTTAGGTATACAATATGTTTACATTTATCATTGAGTGCTTGTACCTGTAGATGATGCATCTTGGTTCTTATTTTTTCCCCATTACCTTTGCGTCCTTTACCCGCTCCACCCTTCCCAATCTACATAGTCTTTGTTTCCATTTTTTTCTTTTCTCACAATTTTTCCTTTCCCTTCTTTCCATTCCCCTTCCCCTCCCACTTCCCCTACCTCTTTGGACCTTTTTTTCCTTTTATTTTTGTTCCATGTCTTAACAATTTAATTGCACTTTTCTTTCTCCAATATATGAAAAATTCAGAACACAATGATTGTACCAGTTAAATAAGTTATAAAAGTTTTAGGATCGGTTCACTTCCAAATTTAATTTGATTGATTTCAGTATAAGAAATACCATGTTAAAAGGAAATTGTTGTGTTCTAAAGGGCAATAAACAGCCAAAATAAGGAAAACTATTGTCTTAAAACATGCCAGAATGAATAAACATTTTGCAGATCACTAATAGTCAATAACATTATTTGAGAGCTTTAGGGATGATCTGGTTTGTATTAAACATATTTACACTTTAAAATGTTTCATGAATTAAGTCAAGCTTTATTACCGACAGATGCTAAGAAATATGAAAAAATAGAGTTTTGCTCTATTAAAATCATCATTATCTAAGGGATGCAACCAACCAGATTCTGAAAAACTGCTTGGCTTTTGTTTTTCCAGAGAGCACAGTCAGACGAACTGGAAAAAATTGAAAAGCATGGCCGATCCTCCAAAGACAAGGAAAGTGCCAAGTCTCTGGACAAACCTGAACAGTAAGCATGCCTCCTGAGGACCCTGGGCAGGGCATCTGGGCTGGGTGGGCTCTTACCGTTTAGGAAAAAACCATGTCTTGAGTGCATAATTGTTATTAATAAGATGAGGACAAACGTGTTTCTATGAATTATATTTTACCTCTTAACTTGGCTTTATTTCCTTAGGTTCCTTTATGAACTGTCACTAATCCCCAACTTTTCAGAGCGAGTGTTTTGCATCCTGTTCCAGTCCACATTTTCAGAAAGCATTTGCTCAATCCATCGCAAACTGGAATTGCTACAGAAATTGTGTGAGGTGGGTCTGGTCCCAAGAGAGCTGAACTTGAGTTCCGGTATTTAATTTTGTTCAATCATATTCATATATCAAAAAAGTGTTATTTACTCTAAGTACTCATTAAATGTGAGGGGGCAGCAATCCCACCAAAGGGAATATTTTGTGATTGAGCTGTAAGATCAAAGTACATGTTCAGATTGGCGTGCAAGGCTGTAGGACGATATTGTGAGTGTGTGGCTGGTGTGTCTGGCCTCCCAAGTGTTCACTGTTCATGGCCCTCGCACACATCAGACTTCCAAATGAATGCAGTTTGAAGCCATGATATTTATTGTCCATTTTTTTTGGATTGCCCCAAACAAACTTTTATTGTTTGTTTTGGCCAAATGATTTAGGAATGGACTCAACAAAGGATAAACATTCCTCTGGAAAAAAAAAAAAGACTAAATGTTTGGCAGAAATGACCAGTATTAACATTTAAAACAATTTGTCAAAAATGAATAGGACCATTTGTTCTGATTGTATTGAATTATTTTGAAAAGTGGAAAAATATTGTCAAAGACTTTTTCAAAGAAAATTATGTGCACATGGGAGGTAAATTTAGTGTTCTCAAAGAAGCGAGTGTGATCTTCTTGGGGGTACACCTAAATTTTGAAATTAATCTTTACAACTATTTTTTATTTTCTACAATTTACACCAATAATTTATATTATTCTCCACATCCAATTAGGATGATGTTGATGGTACTATTTCATAGTAGTTTGTATATTACACCCTTATTTGTTTACCTTGAAATTACATGGTGGCCATGGCCTAAATTGGCATCTCTCAACTTACAAAGCTTACCTTTATGCTTCTTTGGTGGTGCAGCCTTTTAGGGTTTCTTTGGAGACCCTGCTTTAAAAATATACCTAATAAGAGGAAAGTGTACTGTGGTTATAAACCAAAACAATTAGCATAATACAAAGAGGTGGCGTTGGTCTTGGATGATTGAAGTAAAACTTTGTATAAGAGAAAAATTGTTCTTATCCTGTATTACAGACATTAAAAAATGGCCCAGGGGTTATGCAGGTTCTGGGTTTGGTTCTTGCATTTGGCAACTACATGAATGGTGGAAATAAGACTCGGGGACAGGCGGATGGCTTTGGATTAGACATTCTCCCCAAGCTGAAAGATGTCAAAAGCAGTGTAAGTATTTTGTATCAATGGATGTAGGAAAATTAAGGACATTTTGTTTGATGTTTGGTTTACTAATAGATTTGACTATAAACCAGTGGTAATGAATACTTCTTTTTAATCTAAGATCAAAAGTTTCTTTACGTTCTCAACTAGAGAAAAGCACACTATTGGATATTTGAGGTTTAAGTGAATAATAATGTTTCCTAAAGTGAATAATTTTGAATTCTATGTCTAATGATTAATTATAATATTTTTAAACAAAAGTAAGTATTTTTTCAGTCTATTTTCACCAAGTTTGCTAGTATTTATCTTTTTGGAATCTAAGGGCTAATCATTTTCAATGAATTAGATAGTTTACCTGTTATTTTATTTATTTATTTTTGTTTAGGCAATAGAGGCCAACAGCCCCATGTGTTGAAAACAAAACAAAGATAAATAAAAATAGTCTGTAAATAACAATATAAAAAATAGCCTGCTTTTCTGCATATTATTTCTTCCCTTACACTGGTTTGTATAGGAACATCTAAGCCCTTTTGCAGTCCAAGTTATTTTTTGTTCTACTCTTACAGTTGTGTTTGTTTAAAATTAATATCTAAGAGATTGTAAGAGTGTCAATGGAAATATAAGGTTCGAGATGATGGTTGGAATCACAGACTAAAGTCTGGGCTGGTAAACTGAGAAAATAAAAGAGCTATGTTTCTCTGATAAGAGAATCATCACACAGAACATTATGATGAAGGAAATTATGATCGCATTTTAAAAAACTAAACTTAAATAAACTTATTGAGATGAAAATATGTAGGATTATTTGTCCTGCGTAATGCAGCAATCTTCCTTGTAAGAGAGAGAGATATTTATTTTGGTTTCTTTTGTCAGTCAAAATTTTGTTCATTCATTTTATTCATATGCGTATATGTATACATTTGACATTTTTCTGTTCAGCATCTATGAAACACTAGACACTGCTTACCCAAAGCTGAATAACACATAGTTCTTTCTTGGCATATTATATTTGTGATTTTTATGGTTATTAAAATAACAATATATATTTCAAATGGGCTTGTATTTGATTATAAGCACTTTCATAGGAATAAACTTTCAATATTTGGAACAAATAAATCTCATTTGTTAAAAAAACAAATCTGGAGTTTCACTTAGTTCATTGAAAAGAAAATTTTGTGTTATTATCTGTTTGTTTTTCCTTTGCAAGAGCAAAACTTTTTTGTCTCTGAGTAACTACTTCAAAGATAATGATCTACAGTGTATTAACTATTGTTACTCTTACTATTTTATTATGAAAATTTTTATTTTGAAGAAAATAAAAATCTATTTTTCAAACATTTGATAGTTTAAAAATATTTCTCAGTAAGTGCTTGAAGTGAAACAAGTGCTGTAAATGACATTGGAGTAATATAACTATATCAACATAATGTTCCACTTATAAAAATGGATCTGAAATATATTCTGGTAATTCTAATTATATATGAATAAGAGATTATTTGTATGTTTTGTATTGACTTGCTTTTCTTCATTCTTCTATTAAATCTTAAGAATTTAAATAATTCTGGAGTAATCTAGGAAAAAATAAATACTGAATCAAGGAACAAGATTTATAATTTTATTTATTTATTTATTTTTGGTTCCGGGGATCGAACTTGGGACCTTGTGCTTGCACAACAGGCGCTGGAACCACTGAGCTAAACCCCCGGCCCCAAGATTTATAATTTTACTTGCTGTCTCAAAAGAACTATGTATTCTTCTTCTTCTTCTTCTTCTTCTTCTTCTTCTTCTTCTTCTTCTTTTTTTTTTTTTTTTTTGGTATGAGGAATCGAACTCAGTTTGTTGCACTTGCGCAGCAGGCACAGAACCACTGAGCTAAATCCCCGGCCCCAGGAACTATTTATTCTTACTGAATTGATTTTTCCCCTATAAAACAAATGTAGCTATATCTACTCAGTAATATTTTTAGACCTTCATGCATAGAGCCATTACTTAGATCACTCAGAATTTTCTCTCAGCATGCCTATGAGCAGGCTTTTAACAAATGCTTTATTAATTGATTCATGTATTGTTAACCGTTTCATTGATTTACAAGTTAGAAAAAAGAATGTTAAGTTGCTTAAATCATTTTACAAGCAAATTCTAATGAGGGAAGTCACTAATGAATACATTCCTATCTCATGTCAAACTGAATTATGAAGTAGTGTTAACTATTTTTATAGATAGAAAACCATGGCTAGGTCTATTAATAGAAAAACTGAGACCAATTAAATTTAACATAGTTTGCCTGAGCAAAACAAGTTCTAGAACCAGGTAGCATTTCAAACCAAAGATGATTCATAATACCCTATCCTGTTATACTATGCAGGACATATTTATAGCCAGAGGAAAGGAAGTGACATACAGAAACAACTGGATTGACTGCAGCTGGCAATTACCTCATATGTATCTGGTTTGGCAGCTTTCATTCTCTGATTGGCTAGAATTTCTACTGTCATGATTGGCTGAGACTCATTTGCTTGGTATAAGCATATGTACTCAGGTTAGGTTGCAGTTTGTATACACATCTAGCTAGGTTTTCATTTAATATGTAGGGGTGCCACTCTGGGACAATTTTATTACCCATGTATGGAGATAGGTTTAAGCCAAACTTGCTTCAGTTTAACAGATCAAATATTTCAGAGACTTTAGTTTGTATCATAGGATTTTGATGTTAAATATATGTGTGTGTTTATATTCAGTCTTTCAAAGTTAAATTATCTACATCTAACTTGGAGCAAAGCAAAAAACGTTATTAAAATTAATGCATTTAGGGCTAGAGATGTGACTCATTGGTAGAACACTTGCCTCGAATACTCAGGGCCCTGTTTGATCCCAGCACTGCAAAACAAAACAAAACAAATCTCTATAATTGCCTAGTATGTTCCAGGGCCTGGGCTCAATTCTCAGTACCGCAAGAAATAAAAAAGAAGGAAAATAAGCCTCTAAATGTACAGAAAGGAAATAAAAATCCAATCTTTAAAGACTGTTATATATGAAACAATTTTATATTTTTAAAATATAGAATTAAACAAGGTGTCTTATTTACAGCTACATGGGTATTAATTTCTCAATTTCATTTGCTGATATAATGAATTATAATATGTATTGGTGTTTTAAAAGCTCCCACTTATCCTGAAATGATACTATTCTGTTTCCTTAGTATAAATGCTAATGAGCCTCAAAGTTAAGAGTTGGAGTGATACCTGTTAGTCTAGGTATAAAGAAATGCTAGTGATATTTAATTATTTCATTTAAGGTAGTAATTATAGAACATAAAAGTATTACATTAAAATTTCTAAGAAAAACATTAAATAAAAAACTTATAAATTGAATGAAATTTCTGACCAAGGAAGGTAAAATTAGGAAACTACAGTTGTCCTTGCCCTTATACAACTGTTTCCCCTTGAAGCTTAGATTGAAACAAAGGAGGAAAATCTATGCTATTAAACTTCTTAGATAAAATGACTGGGGCAGGCATGTTTGGTGGCACACAACTGTAATCCTAGCACTCTGAGAGGCTGAGGCAGGAAGATGTCAAGTCCCAACCCAGCCTAGGCAACATAGCTATAGACCTTGTCTTTAAAAAAGAAAGTGCTGGGGATGTAGCTCAGTGTGAAGGCCCTGGGTTCAAGTCCCATTGACCCCCCCAAAAAGACTGAGACAATTCAAAATGTAAAACTTCACATTTCATTCTAAATGTCTGTGTGTGTGTGTGTGTATATATATATATATCTATATATATATATATATATGGATTCAATGGAATTTATTTTAATAATGCATACTTAATAATTTTTAAATTATATTGTTACTAACTTTGATCTTTCTGCCTAGGACAATAGCAGAAGCCTTTTGTCATACATTGTTTCATATTACCTTCGAAATTTTGACGAGGTAAGACCATTTTTACAGAATTGCATTTTGTCATTCTTTGTTGGGTGATTAGGTAGTGTTTTCATTGTTGTTGCCTGGTTTTGTTTTCAGCATTGCTGCCACTGTATGGTTTTTAGTTGTATTGACACTGATTGGTTTAAAAATTGTGCTTTCTGATTAGGACGCTGGAAAGGAACAGTGTGTCTTTCCACTGCCAGAACCTCAGGAACTTTTTCAGGCCTCACAGATGAAGTTTGAAGATTTTCAAAAAGATCTCAGAAAACTAAAGAAAGACTTGAAAGGTAATTTATAATCTTGAACTTTTATTTTTAGTTTATTGACATAGTTCTTATATATTCAACATTTTTTTTACACTGAATGTGGCTCATGTTAAATTTTTTATTTATGATCTTTGAACAAAAGATGGCAGCTTGAGCAATGTTTTTGAAGGAAGTAAATTAGTCTTTTATATCTGTGTGGAACAAAATTTTTTATGGCAAAAGAAAAATTTTGTCAATATTCTTATTTTTTTGCTGTTGAAAAAGCCACATATTGGACATTTAATTATTGAATAGTATTTTGCTCATTTGAATAACAATCTATTTCATCAGGACCCAGTTTGCATCTTGTTTTTATTTTATAGCCAAGAACATTTGAACATTCATCATTTTATGGCTGGACACAAATCATGTCACTGTTAAAAGATAAATAGAACCTGCCCACTTTCCCTTGGTATGTTTCCCCAAGATTGTGTGGCTTGTGAGCTTTCCTGGAAACATAGTATCTTCTTGTCCATGTATGGTAAAAAAAACCCCACATATGTGTATATTGTTTTATTGTCTGTCAAGCCTTACACTAAATGATTTTGATAATAGCCTGAAATTCCTCACGTTTCTAAATTAAAAGTAACATTGCACAGGAGCAATTAGTTTACAAAAATTTAATTTTCCTCAACAAAATACCCTTTATCCCCCCTAACTCTATTAGTATAGGCAAGGAGTGAATATATTTATGGGAGATTTTCATTTGATATTGTCTTGCCAAAGGAAAAGTACTAGGCCTGTTTGCCCTGTCCAGAAAAAGACCTAACTTTTAATTTAATAAATTCAATCTCGATTTTGAGATGTGTTTATCCAAAGATGCTGATCTGTAGTAAGATTCATGGAGTTGTTTTGGTCACAGTTCCTTTTACGTGTATTGAACTCAGTCAGTGTAACACCATTATGTTTGCTCACAGTTCTCACATAGCATAATTCATGTGAGGCATGTGCTAGGTGCTGGGTTATACAAAGGTACAGCCATCACTTTTGAGGAGACTGAAATTCTGCCACATAGATGTGTTTGGTTCCTTCAAACCTTACACATAGGTGATCATGGACACCAAGAAAGACTGGTGGGGCTTGGTTTCTTTTTATAATCAATAATACTAATATAAAACTATGTTATATTTGTGTATTATTATTATTATTATAATTTGTATTTAAATTAAAAGTGAATTCCTAAAGCAATAGAAAATAGACCTTTGGGGTAGGGATATAGCTCAATGCAGAGTGCTTTTCTAGCATGCATGAGGCCGTGGTAGTTCAAACCCAACACCGAGGGGGAAAAACCAACAAACTTTTGGCTGTAGAGATTATCATACTTCAAAATTATGTCAGATATTTTTGCTTGCTGATAAAATTTTACACACACACATGCACACACACACACCCTCATGTGGTGCTAGAGGCATTTCTATGGGATTTGGAAAATGTTTCATACTTTGATCAGTATTCAGCTTTGCAAACCAGGGTTTCATAGTTTACAGATGATTTGATAAATGCAAGGAATAATAATCTTATTACCAGGGATTCATGTTTGCTTTAGTTGGAGTATCACTTTGGAATACTACCCTGCTTTCTCTTAGTGTCCACATGCCTGCTTTCTCTAGGTATTAAATCTACCTGTAGCCACGAAAATGCCAAGTTCTCACAAGACTTGGAGCTGAATAAAATGAGCTGACACTACCTAATCCGCTTTATCAGTATGGATAGCCTCTGCCTCTGAATAGTGTTGCTGTGTATTTTCCACCTTGGCAAATGTGATACCTGCAGAAGACTAACTATCAAAGAACATCATCTTAGAAATGGTTGAGTGCCTCAGAAGGCTAAGGAGATGATTTTAAACATGAGAGTTCTAAATTTATGTAGCGAAACGGTGAACTTACTGAAAGACCTATCTTCTCGGTTAGCAAGTGTAATATTTGCCTAGTACAGGAGCTTCCCCAGTTTGCCAATAGGTTATAATAACTCCATGGCCTAGAAACGGGCAGATTCATGACCAAATGAATACAAGAACTCTTGGGTCGGGTTAAATTGGAAAGGAATGCAGAGTCTTGTCTAAAAGAAGGGTTTGCAGCAGTTTTTAAATTTATTTGACCACAGAACACATTTTTCATAGAATCTGTGGTGTGTTCTGTGGTCAGTGTGACATATTAGAACTAATTTTGGGAAATGTAAGCCTGGTACTGTGTTAATAACAAAAGCCTGCACTTGCTCTGAGGAGTTTAAAGCGAAGGTGGGGGAAATGAAACTATAGTTCATGAAATAATGTAAGTATCTATTACTGTTAAACCCTGAGGATTAAAGATGACAAAAATCCTAATTTCTCTCTCTCTCTCTCCTTTTTTTTTTCTTTTGCTTTTCCAAATGTTATGGGATGAGGAAGGAAACCTTACAAATCAAAATTAAAATCCAATTGCCAGGGGCCGGGGATTTAGCTCAGTGGTTTCGCCGCCTACTGCGCAAGTGCAAGGACCTGAGTTTGATCCCCAGTACCAAAAAAAAAAAATCCAGTTGCCGGAAGCTAAAGATTTATGAATAGAGCATTTCATATTAATGCATAAAGTAAAGCAGTCTCATCTATTTAGGAATAAGATGGGTACAAATAGATATATAACTGGTCTGTGTGACCAATTGTATTTTAGATACAGTGATAGTTCCTTAAAAATAATGTCCACTTTGATCAATGTAGCTTATTTAAATGATTTCTTTTAAGTGATTAAATGATAATATTCAGTTAAAAAGAATCAGCCTGCCCACGTATTTTCCCCAGAAGCATATTGATTTTAAACTGGCTTAAATATGTAAAGCATTTATCCAAATACTTTTCATACAATAAATTTCTAGTCAATATCAGCTATCTGTAATTCAATAAAACTAGTGTGGGTAGACAGAAAGCTATCAGCATGGAATCTCTCATCTACTGTCTCACCATCTTTTTTTATTCATTAAATTCATTGGTACATTTTAGGTACACAGTACAACGACATCCGTCATTCAGATCTTGCCATTTTACATAATGTATCTTGGTTCTTATTTTTTCCCCATTCCCCTGCCCTCTCTTCACCTCCTCCATCCCTCCCTATTTACAAAGACTATTTCCATTTTTTATATTTTTTCCTTTCCCTTCTTTCCTTTCCCCTACCCCTGTAGTTTCCCCTTCCCCTTTAGACCTTTTCTTTCTATGTCACATTATCAATTATACATTTTGATCTTTATTTACACTTTCAGTTTCTCACACCAGAGAAACTATTTGGTATTTACACATGTATGTTGTATTTATTTCACTTAAGAGTATGGCCTCAGTGTGCATCCATTTAGCTATAAATGTCTCTAGTTTCTCGTTCTTTATGTCTGAGTAGTACTCCATTTTATAGAAGAACCACATCTTCTTTATCCAGTTTCCAGTTGGTGGGCACTTGGGCTGTTTCCAAGCTTTAGCTATTACAAACTGTGCCACTAAAAACATAGGTACACATATATCGCTGTGGTATGATTCTTTTAACTCTTTTGGGAAGATACCCAGCAGGGGAATAGCTGGGTCAAATGGGACTTCCAGTCCTAGTTCTTTGAGGTATCTCCATACTGATTTCCACAGTGGTTGCACCAGTCTGCATTCCCACCAACAATGAAGAAGGGTTCCTTTCTCCCTGCCAGCATTTAGGTTTTGAGTCTCTAATGATTCTTAGGCAATTTTGTTTTCAGGATATCAGGAAGGATAACTGATTAGATCAGTCATGACACCTTAGCCCAAGTGATACAACCAGCGTAAACAATAGCATCAAACACAGCTTAAAAAATTACAATTTGTGGTAGCTATTAATCTGTCACCTTTAACCGGGTGAACTAGATCAAAATCGAGGACCAGCCAAACATATGTTTGTAGTAAATAAACCCTTCAATATGGCAAATTTACCCTTCAGGGTGAAGACTTAGGAGTTTGGGAGGGAGAGAGAGGTAGAAGGAGAGGAAAAGGTTAGAAGTGAGGGCAGAGGACACAGTAACATCACACAGACTTTGGGAAACTGTTGAAGACAAGAGGAAAAGACAGTGAAGGAACAAATAAAACCAGAATAAACTAACAGCAATAGGGAAGCTAGAAACTGTGTTCACTTTCCTATAAAAATAATGACAATTGAGAGAAGAAAAAAGAAAAAAAATCCAAAATAGCACAGGAACAAAGAGGGAGAGAAATGAAGAACAAGAAGGGAGGGAGAGGGAAAAAAAGAAAAAGAAATAAATTTTTTAAAAAGGGCTTCCTTCAGGGTATGTCTCTGTTGTCCTGGTAGACAATGTGGGCCACAGTGTGCAGGTCTAAGTCAATTAGTCTCAGCAAGCCAGCAGCAGACCCCTCAGATTCAGGCTGATTTCTGGCTGCAAGGCCCAAGCTGAGCTCCCTGACCTCATGCTGGATTGAACTCTGCAAGGTTCTACTGCAGGTTCCAGCTGCCCTGCCCCCTAAGCAAGTCTGGGTTCTAATGGGAGGTGCTGATCCCTCTGACTTACCAACCACAAGGTGGTCTGGTGTGCCTTTATTGCAGAAATTCTCTTCACTTTCCAGTGGTCTTGTTTTCATCAGGGAACCTGAGAAAGGCCCTCTTTCTGTTGTTCACTTCTGGTCTCAGAACAATGGCCTTTATGACCCCCCACCCGCCTTGTGTGATGGTCTGGGGTGGTCCTGGGCATCTGCACAGCTGTCTGGGGCTCACCATCTTTTGTTTCTGCCTAGAGACTTAGATGTTATTTCCAAGGAAAGGCTGGGGAATAATGTGTTATGGCTTAGACATTTTAATAATACAATGGAATCACATTTTAGCATTTTATAAAAACCTCCACTGTTATTGGTTTTCTCTACTTATCCCAAAGATTTCCATAGCTCCTCAGAGTGCTCCTGAGCTCAGTGACTCATAGTTTGTTAAGCCACCTGATCTGCTCTTGCTCTCTTCTGGCTGGCAGCAGCTTTTCTTGATGTAGTTATGCCA